ATCTGTCCTGTGCTGACATTGGGGATATCCTGTCCTGTCTGACATTTGGGGATTAAGTTCCGTCCTGTCTGACATTTGGGATATCCGTTACCTTTCTGACAGTTTATGGGGGATATCTGTAACTGTCCTGACCATTTGGGGATCTCCGGTACGCGTGTCCCTGACCATTTGGGGGATATCCTTACTGTCCTGACATTTGGGGGATATCTGTACGGTCCCCTGACATTTGGGGTGATATCTGTCCCTGTGTCTGTCCATGGTGGGGGAATATCTGGACTGGTAGCTGACATTTTCTTTGGGGATAGTCCTTAACTGTTCTGACATTGGGGGGGATATCTGTACTGTTCCTGACATTTTGGGGGGCTAACTGATAACCGTTCTGACACATTTGGGGATATCCGTACCTGTCCTGACAATTTTGGGGATATCCTACTGTCCTTGACATTGTGGATTTCTGCTCGTACGTGTTCTGACATTTGGGGATATCGTGTACTGTCCTGACATTTGGGGATATCTGATACAGTCCTGACCATTTGGGGGTATATCTGTACCGTCCTGACATTTGCGTGGGATATCTGTTTTCTGTCCTGGAGATTTGGGGGATATCTGTACAGTCCTGACATTCTGGGGGGATATCTGTCGCTAGGTGCCTGACATTTGGGGATATCAGGTACTGTCCTGACAGTTTGGAGGGATGATCTGTACTGTTACTGACATTTTAGGCGATATCTGTACCGACCTGACAGTTTTGGGGTTAAAAATACCGTCCTACATTTTTTTGGGGTATCTGTCCTGTCCCTGACATTTTTTTGGAGGGATATCTGTACCGTTCTGAACATTTAGGTGATATCTGTACTGTCCTAACACATTGGGGATACCTGTACCGTCCGGACATTTTGGGATATCTGTCCTGGTCCTGACATTTGGGGTATATCTGACCCTGTCCTGACATTTGGGGGGATATCTGTACTGTGTCTGACATTTGGGTGATATCTGTACTGTCCTGATAATTTAGGGGATATCTGTACCGTCCTAACATTTGGGGGATATCTGTCCTGTCCTGACATTTGGGGGATATCTGTACTGTTCTGACATTTGGGGATAGCTGTACTGTCCGGACATTTGGTTGGGGGATATCTGTACTGTCCCTGACATTTGGGGGATATCTGTACCGTTTCTGACATTTGGGGGATATCTGTATTGTCCTGCCCTGACATTTGGGGATATCTGTAGTGTCCCTGACATTTGGGGGATAATCTGTACTGTCCCATTACAGCATACAATAAGGTATGTATGCTGTATTGTAGTGAGTGGGGTGCACTGGATACCCTGGCTGCCATTGTGCTATATATTGGGGTGGTCCATGTGCTCCTGTGCCTTAAGGTGGGGTGGGCTCCCTCATGGAATCACCTGCCCTTGGTTTATCCAGTTAAATACATGTGCCTCTACTATGGAGGGCTCTCAAAATTTGTAGAGTTAGGACCGCAGAATATTGGGGTGCCGTGACGTGGCTCTGTGGCTTACGTATGTATTTGCAAATGTGTGCTAACTCAACACCTTTTTTAAATGCACATTGTTAACAGGGTAATTGGGGTTGTTGGCTAGCTGGCTCGGCAAGTTTGAAACTGGATATTCTCTTTTCATTTTTTTGATATGCGATGCCTGTCCATGTTCCTTGCTGCAAAAGCCAGTTTTATAGACCACGCGCAGTGACCACCTCCTGTATACACATACACATCTCTCATTTTAATGTTCAATATTAATGTGTAATACCGGGCACTCCCCCCCCCCCCCCTTCTTGCCTAGGCCTGTTTTTTCAGCTTTCAGCGCTCTCACACTTTGACAATTGCGCAGTCATGCAAACACTGTACCCAAAACTAAAATTTTAGCATTTTGTTCACACTAGAGCTTTCTTTGGGTGGTATTTAATCATCGCTGGGATTTTTTTTTGCTAAATAAAAAAAGACTGGAAATTTTGAAAAAAAAAAAAACATGTTGCTTTCTTTCTGTTATAAAAGTTTACAAATAAATAATTGTTCATAAATTTAGGCCGAGAGTATCTGATACATTTCTTTGTGAAAATAACCCAAATTAGGATTTATTATTTAGTCTGTAGGAAAGTTTATAGAGTTCACAAACTATGGTGGAAATCTGAAAATTGATCAATCCTGAAAAGTACTGACAGCCAATCTAATTTCTTGAGGTCCAAGAATGTCAGGACAGTACAGATATCCCCCAAATGTCAGGACGGTAACAGACATCCCCCCAAATGTCAGGAGAGGACAGACATCCCCCAAATGTCAGGATTGAGGACAGACATCCCCCAAATGTCAGGAGAGGACAGACGTCTCCCCCAACATGTCAGGACGGTAACAGACGTCCCCCAAATGTCAGGACGGTACAGACGTCCCCCCAAATGTCAGGACGGTACAGACGTCCCCCCAAATGTCAGGACGGTACAGACGTCCCCCCAAATGTCAGGACGGTACAGACGTCCCCCCAAATGTCAGGACCGGTACAGACGTCCCCCCAAATGTCAGGACGGTACAGATATCCCCCCAAATGACCCCTTTTTGCAAAGTGGACAGTCTGACGATATAAGAAGCATGGCGAGTTTTTTGAAGTTGTAATTTTTTTGTCATTTTTTGGCAAATGAAGAAATTTAAATAATTTTCACAATTTGTATTTACATCCTGTCACCAGTACAGTACAGCGTCATCATAGAACTGGGGTGGTGGCGGTGATCAGGGACAATGACTGGTGACAGTAACGTGAAAAAAAAAAATGATAATTTTTTTTCAAATTCTTTTTTTTTATTACATTTTTTTTCTCTTTTTTAAGATTTTGTTTTTTTTGGCCCAGCTTGTGCATGTGATTACTGTGACCATTCAGGTCATGTGAGCTGCTGTGATTGGTCACAGCAGGTCCAATGGTACTGGCAAACGGGCCAGTACACATTTTGTCATCGGCTGTGTCCGAGGTCCACGACCATTGACAGATCGCGCTGCAGAGCGGCCCCTGCGGACACGTGCAAATTGTGCTCCGGGAAGGATGTCATATGACGCCCTCCGGAGGGATGAGATGTTCGCCCGGCTGTCATTTGACCATGAGACCGGGCGGCAAGTGGTTAAAGAATTGAAATTCTCTTTAAATTATATTTAAACTGTGATGAAGATGAATTTGTTTCAATGGGGAGAAGGTCAGAGGTTGGCTGTAGATTAACCTCTTCACGCCGGCTGCACCAAATGTGCGGCCTCCTGGAGTCTGGGCCTAGACGCCGAGCGCCGCACACATTTTGCGTTCTATTAAAAAAAAAAACATGTGCTGAGAGCGCGCCTGCGCCCTGCCCGCTAGTCCCAGCACACGTCCGGTACTCATGGAAACGTCCCGGTCTCCTCTTTCGATCGGGACCTTTCCCGATCATGTGACCGCTGTGACGATGCGTCACGGCGGTCACATGATCCCTAAACCCCGCCCCTCCTACCTGCTTCTGAATCTCTTAAAGGGCTGGGAGGCGCCAGCATGAAGGGGTTAAGAAGCATGGAAAATATTTGGATGAATTCAGACAGCAGTATGGAGTTTAGTTTTTTTAAAACCTCATACTTATCTAGGTAGATGCAGCATTGATACCCGATGGATCTAAGTGTGAGCACTCGGCGATCACATGACTTCTCACCACTGTGAGCAGAGAATGTGGCTGTCAATCACAGCTCTCTGCAGGGCTGTTTTTTTCCAGAAGGAACACAGTTCCCAGCACCGTCCAGCAGTAAATTGTAATGTAATGGCAAGGGGTGTTCTGGAGGATCTATTGTTGCTCGGCTGCTGGGGGTCTATTATCACTGAAGGTGATCTTTTTTGCATGGTGGTTTTTGTTGCTGGTGTGGGATCTATTGTTGATGGGGGGGGTCAATTGTTGCTGGAAGGGATCTACTGTTGAAGGAGTAGGTCAACTTGATGCTGGCTGCTGGAGTCTATTGATGCTGGCTGCTGGGAGATCTGTTGTAGCTTTCTTCTGGGGGACTATTTTTGTTTGGTATATTGTTGTTGGGGGTTTCCTTGTTGCTGGGGGAATTTATCATTGCCCTGCGGGGGATCTATTTTTCTGCTTTTCTTGTTATCATTAAAAAATTCCATACAAGTTATTTGGCACGTTCAAAATTATTATTATTAATTATTTATACAGGATTTTATGGCGCCAACAGTTTTGCTCAGCACTTTACAATATAAGGGAGACAATACAGCAACCAATACAGTTCAATACAAAGAGGTTAGTAAGGGCCCTGATCCTGGGACACGCCTTACAATCTAAGAGGGAGGGCTAGTGGTACAAAAGGTAATAACTGTGTGGTGGGTGGCGAGGCTGGTAGGAGTAGAAGATTCCATTATTAGCTGAAGTGAGCAGAGTAGGCGAAAATTCTGATAGATTGGGGTAGAGAGTTTTCCAGAGGATGGAGGAGGCTCTGTAGAAGTCCAGGAAAGAGCATGTGAGGAGGAGCCAGAATAGCAGGAGGTTGTGGAGGACAGCGGAGAGGGACGGTTTGGGGTGATATTTGGAGAACAAGAATTGGTGAATGTAATTTTGGGGCGGAGTTATAAATGGTTTTATAACGTTTTTATGTTTAATATTTTGAATTTTATTCGTTGGGCAATGGGAAGCCATGGCGGGATTTGGCAGAGAGGGGTGGAGGGACACTGAATGGGAGGCCGAGTGGGGGATTGCAGAAGGAGAGAGCGAGGGTGGAGGAAGGACAACACCTGACATGGGAGGCCCCCCCTATTGGAGGGCATTGGCCGATCGCAGGGCTGGAGGCCCAAGCCTGGCTGGGAGGGGGCGCCAAGTGGCAGGTATTAGCAAGGAGAGGAGGGGTGGCGGACCACTGAGATAGGAGCGGTACAGAGTGGAGGGCATGGCAGCGAGAGGGGGATGGAGGACCCAGAGTTTAGGAGGCCCAGTAGGAAGGCTATGGCAGAGAGGGGTAGAGGACACTAGCCAGGCGGCCCGTTGCAGGGGATAGGCCGCGAGGGGATGGAGGGAACCCTGCCAGGCGGACAGAGGCGGGAATAGGCCGCGAGGGCTGGACGGCCCACTGAGTCGCGCGGCCCTTGGCGGGAAATGGCCGCGAGCGGGGAACGCTGCCCCAGCCAGGCGGCCCGTGGCGGGCAATAGGCAGAGAGGGGATGCATGCCACAGCGTGCGGACCGTGGCGGATATGGGGTGCACGAGGGGTGGAAGGTCCCCGTGCCTTGCGGCCCAAGGAGGGAAAAGGCTCCTCGCGGGCTGGAGGACCCTATGCCTGGAGGCCCCGTGGAGGGATTGGCCGCGCGGGCTGGCGGACACATGCCTGCCGGCCCGACGAAACCAGGACATCAGCGCAGCGAGAGGGGAGGAGCCGGCCCCACCAGAGAGGAGGTCAAGGCGGCTTAGGCCGCTAGGGCTGGCGGGCCACTGCGTGGACGCGGCCAAAGTGGAAACGGTAAACGCGGCACAAACGCGCGCCGGGGGGAGGCGGCCCCAGCGTGGACGGCCAGAGGTGCTGGCAAGTGCCTCGCGGTCAGGCCGCACATGCCTAGGAACGTCAGGAGGCAGCGACTGGACGCCGCCATATAATACATTAAACTCACACAGCGGGGCGGTTCCAGGGAGGACCGTAAGGGGGGGGGTGGGGGCCCACCACGAGCCACCCGTGCCCCGCCGGGAGGGCGCACACAGCCCCCAATGATAGCGCCCCCCCACCGCCCTGCCACTACTTCACCAAAACACTATTCAAAGGGGCCCATCTATTAGGTGGATGTATTATGAACACCCGGAGCGCGATGGGAGAGGAGCTTGCTCGTCCACTCTTCACTCCCCGCGCAAAGCTACCTCCATGCGGCAGACGCGCTAAACCGTTAAACACCCACAGCGAGCAACGGGAGCAAACATGATGCTCACACAACAAACGCCAAACTGCCCGACTCCCGCAACCCCGACGACGCCTACGCACTCGCCACAAACAAAATCACGAGTCATGCTGACACAAGACAACTCATCCTGCCAGAAACCCCACCACCCCCCCCCCACCAAAAAAAAACCCCCCCACCAACACAGACCTACACACCAAACACCCACCCCCCCACCCAACCCTTTCATAGAAAACACACTCAATAAACCTAAGCACTCCCAACAACAAAACCCCCAACCCCGCCCAACAAACCCCCATAAACTTCCCCCC